AACAATATACGTTTTGCCTAATTTCTATCTAAATCTACAATGTTGAACATGTTCTCCAAGCCCAGAGAAGTTCCTTGTTGTATCCACACCCCTTGAGGATATTAAAAATACAACAAATCATTTCTCTTTTTATGCACCTTTAAAATATGGAAATTAAAAGGAAAATGCAAAGTCTGCCCCTAAGCCATATGGCCGCCTATCCCAGCTAGAGCTTATCCCAGTTAGAGCTTATCCCAGTTTCCTAGGCATGAAGCAACAAGGAGTATCACAACCCCCCTCCCTCGATGCTAGTCCATCACAAGGTTTCCCCCTCCTTTTCCTCCCTCGGAGTTTCATCATACAATTTGCCTGTACCCATTTATACTCCTTGGTGGAGAGAGGCAGTGTGAGTATTTTGCCCAAAAACCCAACACATTTATACGGCCAGGAAAAACTTAAAGGTTATAAAATATTCTAAAATATAGCTGATTATTGACATCTTTGACAAAATGTTGGATCGGGGTCAGATTTTTCGGCTGTTTTGGAGAAAAAGTCACAATTTCCTTGACAAAATAAATAAATTAATGATAATAATAAAAACCCCACTATTCTGCAAGTGTTGTGGGTGTGTAGGGAAGGAGGAGGTTTTGGATAAAGAATGAAACTTTCCCCTATCTCACCAGTTCCATAAAAAATTCCCTATCACTCTATAACAAGTTTTGAACTTACCAAGATAACACCGGATGAGATCGTACACGGCACAATGAAATAAATCTGCATTCCTATTTGAAAAAAAAATGGACCAAGTATTGAACTACCCTCTGGGTTTTCCTCAGTGGACAAGGAAGTTCCATTCCAAGAATTACTTCCATTTATGTCAAAGCGATCTGTCGTAGCATGACTCTTTGTGACAGTGAATGGTAACAATCCAGTTAAATGCCCACCAACAATCGGCGTAATCAACAAAATACAAATAACACCCCAGATCAGAGCCTTGAATGCTTTAAAGGCGTCTGTCACTTCCCCTGTTTTAAGTTTGAGTCCACTGTGAAGGAAGATACCTATGACACAGACGTAGTGGGTCGGTAATTTGCTGAAGAAGACACCAGGTTCTGGAGCCAAAATTCCTAAAGCTACGAAAAAGACCAAGCTTATAGGGAACAAATTCTTAAAAACCACTGCCTTCACCGTATTCAAAAACGTCGGTGGTTTCTGCGGTATTTCCTCGAGAGAACCTTCACTTTTAGGAAGATTCATCATCGCCATTGTCGGATTTCGTAACTTAACGTCTATCGCGCTCTTATGAATGCCTTTTTGGTTATTCAAACCATGTTGCACGTCAACCCGGGCTCGTGCGAGGAGGCCGTTATAGTCAGTAGTCAAGCAGATGCTCGTTAACTAGACCTTATTCAGCTTTACTGGCCGGTTCCAAATAGCGTGCAAAAACTCAACATAATGCTCAAAACTTTCCACAACAGAATAAGTAATCATGCGTTACAAAATAACCGAGAAGTGGTTATTAGTGCATTACAAAGTCACTTTCTTTTCATGCTACACAAAAGATCAAAGGTGAACATGGATCAAAACACTTTTCAAAGGTTCAGAAAATAATCCAGCTCTCTTTGATTTGACCGTTTTGGTGACATAAAAACAAATCTTGATGGTTCAGAAAGTACGTTGGAAATTAAATAGTTAACAAATAGACTCCAAGTTGCCGTGCGTCAGTGCGGTAATAGATCACGGATGACGTCAAAATGTGGTAAAAACAAAGAAGTGGCACACGAGGCGCAGCCGAGTGTCACTGATTTTCTTACCACATTTTTGACGTCCTCTGTGATCTATTACTGCACTGACGCACGGCAACTTGGAATCTGTTTGTTTTATATAATAAAGAATTTTAAAAAGTTTTAATTGACGTCATCTATACGTCTGTCCTCCAATAGATGCGTACATATTTGAGCTTATTATTTAACAAATAGAGAAGCCTTGACTGTGCTCTGTTCTGTTATAAAGCACACAGGAAGCGGCTAGAGCACGAGAGAAGTGTAGGGAGAAACACGAGACGAGACAAGACCCCACTTCTTGAGTGCTCTAGCCGCCTCCTAAGTGCTTTATAACAGAACAGAGCACAGTCAAGGCTTCTCTATTTACTGGGATACCTGTGGTAGCCCAGTCATACATGCCTTTGTTTTTTTTTCCTCCGCCACAAAATGGAAAAATTGCGCAATAGTACCCAGAGGTCATTGGGCCCTCAACACCATGACAACTAACTGTGATCCAATGAGGTGTTCACATGCTGATCACGCGTGTTATCTTGATGATGATTGACGTTGTCATGCACAGACAGGGCCGGGTCACATGACGAATCACGAGATTTTGCTTATAAAACTCTTTGGTCAGTTATTTTGTATTTCAACGTATTTGGATTGCTATCTCCTGGAGCATTATGGCGCAAACGCGCAAAATACTTACAGACGCATATACAAGTCGTATTAATCGCGGCTAATCCACACTGAAAGATGTTATTGAGCGGTAATTTTGGAACGGATTGAGTCGCGAACGCTTGAAAGCCATGAAAGCCTTGAATGCCTTGTATGCCAATGTCTTAGTTGAAAAACGTTCACTTGTTGTAAAAAGCAAAATCTGAAATCTGAAACCAAACTGCATATACTCTATGCAATCTATTGAACAACACTACTACCGTGAGACTGAAGAACATAACTATAATGGATGCAAACTGATTGTGAAGAAAGACGACATGTTGGATTTACTTGATGGCAAGGAACGTAGCTACGATAACAGTACGAATGGTATTAATTTCACGATCAGAAAGGTGAATGTTATGTTTGTTTTCATTGTAGTTTTATGGATATTCTTTTTGAGTAAATACGTTATCCAAAACCCTGTGTTTTTTTGTGTATAATGTTATTATGTTAAATATTGTTTACGCAATTCTCTTGTCACAGGCGGCCCAAGCTCACGTCTCGAGAAAAAGCCAACGATTAATTCATGAACGCGTCACGCGTTGTGTGACTCGGTGTTAAGTCACGAGAGGAACTGCACGTTATAAGGAATAGTATAGGGAAAGAAGTATGGTCGATTTACAACGATACATATTTCGAAATATGAACATTTTTCTCGTAAAATCAATAAAACTTACTCATACCCTGTGTATCCGTTTTATTTTCTGGAGATTTCTGCCGTTTTAAGCTTGCTTTACCATTACTGTTATTCACGTCATCTACTTTTACAACGTTGGTAAAATCTGTACAGACATCACACCAACCAACTCGCGCGCAAATTAAGAAGACTATATTGAAGGCTTGAAATAATATTGCGATCGATTTTCATTAAGAAGTGGGCCAGGAATATTCCACAATAGTGCAAATAATCGTGAAGGCGGATCGCAGAAAAGCGATTGCGTGACGCTCGGTAAGCTGTAAGATGACATGTTATTGTATACCAGACGTAAAAACTCTTCAGATTCTTAGTCTGCATTTTGTACCCACTCTGCAGTCTGCAGTTGTTCGGGAGCGATAACGAAAACCTCCTAAATGCGACTAAACTGGAAAACACAAGCGATAACGAAAATCTCCTAAATGCGACTAAATGCCGCTAGAAAACTGCCACTAATTGCGACTAAAAAATGCGACTAAAAACTGCGACTAAAACTCCGACAACACACACGCGAGAAATCGTAAGCGTAACTTGCTTACGACTGATTAACGTTAAATGTCTCAGCGCGCGCGAGCTAATTGCACGACACGCCAGTCCGGTACTTTCTTCTTAACAGCAGTCTATATTTTGTATCCGGTCTGCAGTCTGCTGTCTGCATTTTGTATTAATAGGTATCCGTGGCACCAATACAGTTTATTTTTGGTTACATTTATTCGCAAAACACACATAATCTACCACAAAATACCTGTAAGTGAGGTAATTCGACATTTTCGTTCTTTCCCACATTAATATTCTT